GGGGGGGGGGCATTAAATAAAAAGGAAAAGTGGCAATCAAAACGCGGAGGGAGGGATAAGGAATTGTTTCCAAAAAGTGGAGGGGTAGGGGTGTATGGGGAGGAGGTCAGGTGGTGGTGGACAGGCTTTGCCTTTGTGGGGGTTTTCTACTTTGTAGAGGAACAAATCAGGTGTTCAAATTCAAGTCAGTACTTACTGTATCGAGTTTTCCTTCATTTTAGAGTAAAACTATTCAATACATTTTCTCTTCTTTCCTGTGCTGATTTTATTATCTACATTTATTTCTAGCCCTTGGTCTCTGTCTTAACACCGTACTTTTTTTCCCTTTATAAGTTTATTCTTAATTGGTTTGCAAGATACTCAGAATTTTTTAATGAATTTGTGATTGCCCATGAACCTCAAACTACTCACGTTGTTGAGTGTCACTGAAATCAATCTTGTCCCAGGTAATAAAGGATATGCCTGCCTTTTGAGCATTTTGGAAATTCAAGCATCTAACCATGATTTATAGTCCTTTTTCTCTCTTCTTTTCTTCACCTCCTCTCAAAGAGAAGGGAAGCTGTATTTGTTTAACAAGAACTATTATTATTCTATTGATTGGCAACACATCTGTAATTCTAATTATTGTCTTGCTTGACAGACATTCAATGATATACAAAAGCTGCTTAGTAAGACTAATGGCCAAGTTGTTGGTGACTTAATGACTCCAACTCCACTTGTTGTTCATGAATCGACTAGTCTTGAGGAAGCTGCTAGGTACTGACTTAGCATACATATCCAATAAAATAATGTTGAACTCTGATTGTTTTGTTACCAACTCGGTTTTAGGTAATTCATACCAATGTTTTCAAGACAACAAAAATCACAGGTGATTTATTGCAACATCAGGGCAACCATTTGGTTACATACTTACATGTTTCCATGGAATTTAAATTATATATCAAATAAGATTCCTAAATCTCATAAACATCACAGTTTAGCAATCTAGCATGCAACCATTGACCACTTGATGCCTGACACCATTACTTCTTGACTCTTGTATTAGGCTGTTGCTTGAAACAAAATATCGTCGATTACCTGTGGTAGATGATGACGGAAAGCTGGTAAGAAGATTATTTATTCCCTCTTGCTAGTGTAATTTTTGTGCTTCTTCCAGTAGTGACTCTTGCTCATTTATTTTTCTCATATTCTTGCAAGGTTGGACTAATTACAAGAGGAAATATTGTTAAGGCAGCTTTGCTATCAAAACGCGCTGGGGAGTGGTGAGAGGTCCCCATAGTTTGGGAAACGTTATTCAAATAGCTTTGCACGCAGGTTGTGATGACGTCAGTCAGCGTAACCTCCATATAATTAGTTAAGATAATGTATGCAATCATATCTAGTGGATGTTTAGACTATTTTGGATGTATGACAGGCCGAAAAAGGAGCTGGAGGCAACTTTTGATGGCCTCGTGAGATCTTATAGTGGTGGATAAAAACCATGTAATGGGAAGTGATTTATCGATCACCTTTATAAAGTTCTCGACATAATTTCGCTGCATTGGATTGTTACGAGCTTGGACACATTACATCGAGTTTTTTTATTTTTATTTTTTTATGTAGTCTGTTAAATCTGACGTTTATTAGGTCGGAATAGATCACTATGAGCCCTGTATTATAAACTTCATAGGGTAAATTGTTTAGGATTTTAATCTGTATGTAATTATGCCCTGGTCCTACTTCATATTTTGGATTATGCAAAAACTTCTCGAGTCTTATTTTATTGTCGAATTGAATATCTGTTATATATAGACAGGGTCATATTATAGATATGGAAGGCCACGTGATCCCATAAAGTATGAACATAATTTTCTTAATTTTCTTAATTTCCTACTGTGCAGGTGGGGAATGCAGGGGAAGGAGGAAAAAATGATAATATACGATTACAACCTCTCTTTGTTTATTTTATTTTTTCTATTCACTTTGAAGTATTATCCAACCATAAACTAATATTGAATCATTGCAAGAGATGCAGGCATATAATACTACTTAAAATTGAGTAAAGTATGCTAAAAGGGTATAAAATAATACTTGAAAATAAGAAAGATCTAGTGAGATTCTAAATCTTTAATAAGACAATAAAACATACGTGTGAGCGTTAGTCAAGAAAGTACGTAGGTCTTTCATAGAATGAAAATCATTGTCATGGTGACCGATCATCCATATGCTGAAAGGGGCCTGATTTGAGAAGCGTATAAACTACTTATAACTAACTAATCACTGGCCACTGCATGTGATTGTTTAAACTACTTGTGGTTATTTTCTACTAATACTGTCAATAGTTTTCAACAGTCCCCATACCAGTTTTTAGTTTCAAAACAACCACAATTTACTAAATAGTCTGTAAAAGAGTTCCAGATTATTCAATCACCCTTGATTTGTGCGTGAAATTACATATTGCGTAAACCTCGGGGGCTCCTATGATTAGAGTAAGAGCATCCAAGTAAAGGTCTTTGCTCCATATGACAGTATATACGCATTGTATTTTACTTTTACACGATTTGTCAATATCATTTGACTGGTGCATTCCACCGATCACAGCTATCGTAAACTCCAGTCAAATACCACCACTCAAAGTTGGACTTGGCTTGTAACATGTCACTCATGACGTATTCTCTTTGAACTTCTCCTCTTTCTTGGAAAGAATGAATCTCCAAACCCACCACCTATCTCCAAAGAAAAATAATAAATAGAAGCTGCGATTGTATCAGTTACTTGCATGTTGCATCACTCTCATCATCTCTAGACTCTAACACACCAAGAAAGCATCTCCATTTGAACATGAACCCCATAACCGGCTCAGTCGAAATGTTCTTCTTCCCCTTCATAGGGGGAGGCCACCAGATCCCAATGACAGACACAGCAAGAGTGTTCGCATCACACGGAGCCTCATCAACCATCATAGCCACACCCTCCAACACTCTCCAAATCCAAAACTCCATCACTCGCGACCAACAATCCGGCCTCCCCATCACCGTCCACACCCTCTCCGCCGACATAGCCGACACAGACATGTCCGCCGGTCCCTTCGTCGACACCTCGGCTCTCCTCGAACCTCTGCGACAGCTCCTCCTCGAACGCCGCCCCGACTGCATCGTCGTCGACATGTTCCACCGCTGGGCCGGCGAAGTCATGCACGAACTTGGAATCCCCAGAATGGTCTTCACCGGCAACGGGTGCTTCCCTCGCTGCGTCCAAGAAAACATCAGAAACCACGTGGTGCTCGAGAATCTAACCTCAGACTCGGAGCCTTTCGTTGTTCCTAATCTCCCCGACAAAATCGAAATGACGAAGTCTCAGCTTCCCGTTTTTCTGAGAGGCCCATCAAACATCCCCGATAGGATGAAAGCCATGAAGCAACTAGAGGAGAACAGCTTTGGCGCTGTTATCAACAGCTTCCGTGACTTGGAGCCAGCTTATGCTGATATCGTAAAAAAGCGAAACAAGGCATGGCTTGTAGGACCAGTCTCCCTTTGCAATAGAACCGCGGCGGAGAAAACCGCCAGAGGAAAGCCACCCACCATCGACGAGCAAAAATGCTTGAAATGGTTGAACTCGAAGAAACCCAATTCGGTTCTTTACATCAGCTTCGGAAGCCTGGTTCAGTTGCCCCCTGAGCAGCTAAAGGAAATCGCTTACGGTCTCGAAGCTTCTGAAAAATCGTTCATTTGGGTGGTGGGGAAGACCAGGGCGAGAACCCTCAAGGACCCATCAGAAAATGGAAGTGGTGAAAAGTGGCTTCCGGAAGGGTTTGAAGAAAGGATGAGGGATTCAGGTAAAGGGTTGGTTCTCAGAGGTTGGGCTCCTCAGCTGTTGATTCTGGAGCACGGTGCGATTGGAGGGTTTATGACACACTGTGGATGGAACTCGACTCTGGAGGGGCTGAGCGCAGGGGTGGCCATGATCACGTGGCCTGTCTCGGCGGAGCAGTTTTCGAATGAGAAGCTGGTGACGGAGGTTCTGAGGGTTGGGGTGCAAGTGGGGAGCAGGGAGTGGGTGTCATGGGATGAGGAGTGGAAGGAGGTGGTGGGGCGAGAGAAGGTGGAGTTGGCGGTGAGGCGGTTGATGGCGGAGAGCGAGGAGGTTGAGGGAATGAGAAGAAGAGTGAGAGAGATTGCAGGTAAAGCCAGAAGAGCTGTTGAAGAAGGTGGAACTTCTTACGCTGATGCTGAGGCCTTAATTCAAGAGCTTAAGGCTCGCAGATTGGCCAAGGAAGAAGGTTAGAAGAATTTTGATTTTTGAATGACAAGAGAAAACTAGAAAGTGTCCCTTTGCTTACCAAGAGCTGGTTTTCGTGGCATGTACGTAAGAATAAAAGCTTGTCACCTTCTGGAAAATTTGAAATCTAATGCTAGCTACGTGCCTCTATATATATATACACAAACAACGAATAAACAAAAAATTACAAATACATGTTATTTTAGTCAATGGCGTTAGGGTTGTAAGACCTGCCCTCTTATGATTGATATTTTATTGGCGGTAAGGATAAATTAGTTATTTATTGTCAATGTTAAGAAATTGTGTACATCATGTTTATGGATATCATGTATTATTGAATTTATCGCATAAAATTTATTTATTATTATCATTTTTCATGTGGGTGTTGTATAAATGTTGCAATGTCATCATTGTGTCATGTTATTGGGTATAAAAATGAGTTTTTTCTTAAGTTAAAAGGATTCAAAAAAATGAATTTTAAATTTGAAAAATTAAATAATTTTAAATTTTATTAATTGTAAAATAAATTTATTGAATATTCAATAAATTAAATTATGTCGTTAAACACATAATTTTTTTTATAGAAAATTTAATATAAAAAATGGATATAATAGTGAAATAATAGTTATTTTTATTTTTTAAAAAATGTAATTGTAAATTCAAATTCAAATTTACAATCAACTTATCTACATTTATATTTATATATTAATAATTGTAGAATAATCTTCTAAAAAATTTTACAGTTCAAAATTACATAGCTTGGGACAATTTGTTTTTCTTCTAAAAATTGTTCAACCTTTTAATATTTAAACATTTTCTATTAATTGTAAAACAAATTTATTAGTATTTACTAAATTGAATTACATCAATTGAACACAAATAAATTTTCATACAAAATTTGAAACATCATTAAAAAAAAAAAGCATATAATAATAGTAAAATGATGGTTATTTTAATATTTTTTAAATATAATTATACATTCAAATTCAAATTTAAAATTGACTTATCTATATTTATATATTATTAAAGGCAGAATATTTCTTTCGCTCAAAACTGCATAGTTTGGAGCTTTTTTTTCCCTTAAATTTTTTTTATTGTTTTAAAATTTAAATATTTTTTATTAACTACAAAATAAATTTATTAACATTTAATAAATTAAATTATGTCAATGAAACACATAAATTTTCATAAAAAATATCATAAGAAAATACATATAATAGCGAGAAGACTATTCTATCTTTATTATATATATATATATATATATAAATAATGAATTTCATTTTTTCTCATTTTTTTTCTTTCATCTCCTATATTTCTCTATTGACTCTAGGAAAATATTACAGAATATCTACAATATCTTCTTTATTTTCACTTCTTTTCACGTTCACCTTCCTTATCTCATCTTATTCCTTAGGCAATTATTTTTCTTTTGCTACATTTCTTTTTAATTGCATTCGCTAATTGCTAGATTCACTTTACCTATCATCTCTTCATTCACCTATTAATTTTTTTCATTATCATTCATTTTAAAAGTCTATTGGCATACCTTAGTACATTTTACCACAAAGTATCATTCCTTTATTTATAAAATTATTTTTAAGTTTTTTGAAACATCATTGAGAAAAAAATATTTTAGTGTTATGATAGAAAAGTTTGAAATAAGATATAAATATATGATGAATAATTTAAATTATAATAAATAATTCATTTTTAACAGAGACAATATTATATACTAACATTATTAATCAATAATCATTTCAAATATTATATACATCAACTATAAATAAATATATCAAATTTATTATTTTATACATTACTTTATAAACTTTATATAATCAACTTTTTCTGTTATAAATTAAAATAACATTTTAAAACTATAAAAAATACATTTAAACATGTTAAACTAATAAATATGTAATTATTTTTTAAAGAAATTATTTGTTATAAAAAATTAAAGACTAATTTCTCGAAGTACTCTTCTTCTCATTTAATTTTCTAAACCGTTTTTTGATTATAAAAAATATCTCATATAAAAAATTAGAGACTAATTTCTCAAAGTATTGAAATATATTCAATATACCCTCCAACTAGAATCTAACTTCTACCTAATTACACACTTATAACATATTTGTATTGTCATTTTTCTTATTTGAACAAGAAAGCTTTATGAGATAGTTTCTTTGTTCAATAGAGCTTTGAAATTTGGAATTGCTTTTAATCAAACATATTCTTAATCATAAAACAATTTGTTGGTAAATTTAAAATACTTTTATTTATATTTTAAAATAAAAATTATAAAATATAAAATAAATTAATTTTTAAAATTCTCTATTTATAAATCAAATAAAATAAAAGGTATTAATTGTTTTCTATTTGGCACGTAGTCTCTCTCACATTTAGTTATTTTCTCTTATAATTATCTAATATAAACTATAATATAAGGTTTTAGTACATTTTAATTAGCAACGAGTAATCTGTCACATTTAAATATTTTAACTATAGGTACTCTAGTTAAAATAGAAGCATACATTGAATCCTAATTTGAGATATTTTAAAATAATTCATTTTGCTAAACTTTAAACTTGTAGCTTGAACATACTAAAAAATTAAAGATGATTGAGATAAAAAATTAAATTATAGAAAATTCTATGTGTACTAACCGTACTTTGCACCCGGGCTCCGAGCCCGGATCAGCAATACAAAATAACCCCGGGAACGCGCTGCGCGACGTCAGCCCGGTATTTGACCAAATCACACTCGAACCCGAGGATCTCGCCCCGGACCGGATCCGCCCTTCAACTATATCATATCATAACATACCTTATCTCAGGCCCAAGGCCCAAGGCAAATCTAAACCACCCTAAGGTACGTGCATTATATATATGAGACTATTATTCATGCAAACCCTAACTTTGGCATCGAAGTCTCTTTTGCAGGTATCTCCTCCATCTTGGAGCACCAATACATCAAGCAAAGGAGGCTCACCGATCTTACTGGACGGATCACCCCTACGACCAAATTCCGGTAAGAACATTTGGCGCCCACCGTGGGGCCGATCAAGACAGCTCTTATCGGCCACCTGTACGGTCCCTACCAGAAACCGTACCAGACGAGCACTCAATCACCATGAACGGCGACAATACAACCTTAAGAAGCCCGACCAGCAAAGTCGACCTACAAACCTCGCACGCAGAAAACTCAAGAGCTCGCATTCAAACTCGATGGCGACACCCTGATCGCCCCTCCGACCCTCAACTCGCCCCCAGCGGGACCGCGCGAGATGAGGCAGGCCAGGAAGCGGGGTCAACTCCCCTAAGCCGATTAGTCGGTACAATCGCAGGAGGCTTCGCAGGAGGCGGTGCTAGCAGCTCGTCCCGGAAAAAATACCTGCGCAAGGTCAACCGCGTACACTCCGCCACCGACGCTTTACGCCGGAACTCGCCAATGATAACTTTCACCGACGACGACTACACCGGGGTCAGCCGAAATCAAGACGATCCCATGGTCATAGTTGTGGCATTGGCCAATTGGGAAGTTCGCAAGACCTTGGTCGACCAAGGAAGCTCGGTTGACATCCTATACTGGCCAACATTCCTCAAGTTAGACATCCCCCACTCTCTCATACAACTTCATACCGAACCTCTAGTCGGTTTTGCAGGGACAAGCATTCACACTCGGGGATATGTAGACCTACTGACGACTTTCGGAGCACCCTCGGTTTCCAGACAGGTCTTGGTACGATACCCCCGGTTTTAAAATAATTCATTTTGCTAAACTTTAAACTTGTAGCTTGAACATACTAAAAAATTAAAGATAATTGAGATAAAAAATCAAATTATAAAAAATTCTATGAAATCCAACAATAACTTTTTATTTTAACCAAAATACTTATGACAAAAATATTTAAACATGACAAAATATCTATTATTAATTAAAAGATACCAAAATCTTGTATTGTAATTCAAATTATATAATTAGGAGAAAGAAAAGTTAATTGGGAGAGAGAATAATCGATAATAATAAATTCATAACCGTAATGAAAAAATAACTTATATAACAAAATTAAAATTTATACATGAAATACAATTTTTTTTTTTAATTTTAATGAAATTATCGTCCAGCTTATCTTTTAAGAAACAAATTCCCTTTAGTTTCATTTCCTTCCTTACTTACAAACGGAATATGTAAGTTAAACCCGCCCAAAGAAAAGCGAGTAAGTTGAGAAAAGGTGTTGGCTATGCACATTGAATCCAACCGCATGGAAATGGAACTGATTGAGACCCAAGTCGAACCCTTGTCCCGAATCGACCCTCCCAAAATTCAGCGCCTCAGCGACTCCGTGGTCAACCGCATCGCTGCCGGCGAGGTCATCCAACGCCCAGTCTCCGCCGTCAAGGAGCTCATCGAGAACAGCCTCGACGCCGCCTCCTCCTCCGTCAACCTCCTCATTAAGGACGGCGGCCTCAAACTCATCCAAGTCTCCGACGACGGCCACGGAATCCGAGTAAGTCACTCCCTCGTCTCACTCACTTTCAATTCGTTCATTCGTTCATTCATGTCATCACACGCTCGCGTTTCGATTCCGCTTCTGCAGTTTGAGGACTTGCCGATACTGTGCGAGCGCCACACGACGTCAAAGTTGTCTGCGTTTGAGGACTTGCAGCGCATTAAGTCCATGGGCTTTCGCGGCGAGGCTCTCGCCAGCATGACCTATGTCGCTCACGTCACCGTCACCACCATTACCAAAGACCAATTGCACGGTTACAGGTACTCACTTCTTCCATTCCCATATATTCCCCTACTTGGTATGTTTGTATAATATAATATAATTAGAATTCATAACAAATCAATAGTTTTAATATTATATCATAATTTAAATTTACAATGAATAATTTAAACTTTGATATAATATTATTTGTATCCATTCACATTTTTGAAAGAAAAACCATTGCAATTTAGTGTAAAGCAAGAGATGAAACTGATAAAGATAGAAAGAGGGTGGTTAGAGAGGAGGAAAGAAAAAAAAAAGTTTTAAAATACCTGTTGGCCCTAAGTTTTATAAACTTTACTTTTTGTTTCATATAATAAAAAATATATCATTTTCATTCTTATATTCTTTTTGTCCATGGACATGATCCAAATGTCTCAAAACTGATAATCAAAGGCTAATTTACACTTGTAAAAGGTGACTTCTGCTGGTTAAACATTATTTCCATTCTTATATATATATATATATATACATACTGTTTTATTTCTTTTTAGTCTCTATAGATTTATAAAAAAATTTTATCTTTTAATTCCCATAGCAATGGATGACAGGGATTGAAAAGAAACAAAAATGGTATGTATTGGAACTAAAATGGAATGGTTTTAGCCG